GTCAAAATCTCTCACAGAGAGGTCTGAAACAAATTCATACAATAAAATGAATACAATGTATCAATAAAATTATTTACTAGTAAGTAGTAACTATTAACGGACCCAAGACTGTTATTAAAAAAAAAGGTAATCCATAATTGAAGCCTAAACAATATCTGTTTAGAATAAAAATAAAAGGAAAATATTATATAAATTTTTTAAAGACTTTTTTTTAATTCTTAGGGGGTAACTACTCCTTTACACCTTATCATTATTTATTTGCCACTGGAAACTATCAACTACTAAGTAACTAGTAATTTATTAGTATTTATTAGTATTTATTATTGATTACTAATTATTTTTGTTATATTTGATGGAGGTAATCGCAGTGTTTAATCTAGGCTGAGCGATGAAAGTCCACAGAGAAATATGAAATATTATCACTGAAAATTTTTTATATATAAAGGAGAATAAGTAATAAAAATACTGAATAAAACAAAAAAACATACTATTATACAACAATGTAAAGACAAAAGAAGTTATATATATTATTAATAAAAAAGTTATTCATAAAAGATTTTTGTAAACCTCTAATGTAAGATTAGGTTTCCTTTAAGCAAGCTCTTCACTGATACTTGTGATAAATAATATATAGTTTGATAGTATACAAATACTTGAATAAATGCATGTACTGCTAAGTTATGAAATTATGTTATGTAAGACTTTTTTAAAATAGCACTATTCAATTCCAAATTATTTTTATATAATTATCTAATTATATAATTGTAAAACCTGCCAGCAAACAACTCTTATTAAACATGGTAAAAATGTTGCTATGGGCCTTATGTAATATATTATAATACAGGTGTAATATTACTTTTTACACCTGTATTATAAAAGTTTTCCAGATAGAAATAAGTTGCTTCAATTTTAAGGAACCGTTGCTATGGTGTTGTTAGGGACATTTTTTAAAAAGATTTACATGAAATTAATTTTTAACAACTTATTTAATTTTTTTTTAAATTCCACTTATGTTTAAGTTCATTATAATATTTTGAATAGAAAAAAAAAAAAAAAATTATTATAGTTATGTAAGATTACAACTAATATGTAAAATAAACATTGATAAAAATTTTCAAAATATTTTTTAAACTTAAAAAGATAAACAATGGTGAAAATAAAGTTATTTTACTAATTATACTAAATTAATAATTCCAAAAAGAAAAAAATTTATTTGAGAAACAAAAACCATATTTTTCTTGAGATAAAATAAAAGAATAAACTTTAAAAAAAAATTACAAAAAAATATTCAATATGAAAAAGTATCAAAAATACTTATAAAAATTAACTTTTCTACAAATTTATCTTTCTTATAAGAAAGGAAAAAAAGCAAAACTGAGCCTCCACATTTTCCCAGTTGTTTAAGTATAAAATTCCTTCTTTGCTTTACCCTGAAGTATAATTACAAGACATCTCTTTAAAGCGTTGTAATTCTAATGTATTGTCATTGTTACTGCAATTAAATTTTTTTTATTATTATTACTTTCAAGATAAAATTTTCTTTTTCTTGTCACGACACGTTGAAAGCATGGAAACAACATGACCACTTAGAAACTATAAACACGTAACATTATAACACATAACTCACATAGAAACACATCCTTTAACAGGTTTTAACATATTTATCACACATAAACACCTACAAAATGTAAACCAATTAATTTTAATACATATAAATACAAAACAAATAACAAATAATACCACATCATATGACATAAAAGTACTTAAATATATAAATTAAGAAAAATATATAAATAAGGAACATTTGCAAATACAACCTTATTTGTGCAGTGTTTGTTCAATGTCATACTTAGCAATGCATGTTTATCAACTTTAAAAAACTAATGATCAAACAACCTAGTTTGTTATACTATAAAAGCGAACAGATTTTCTGTAATTTGTATTAGTGATTGATATTTTCAAAGTTATTTTAATCTATCAAAAAATCTATGACAAATGGCTTTTTAGTAATAACAACTGGCTTTTTAGTAACATTTTCCAATAACAAAATTTGTTTTAAATATTTATAAAAAACTTGATGTTTAATAGTAAAACAATAATTGTTTTTAGATAAGTACATTTGTAAATACAACATTATTGATGTACCATTTATTAAATGACATACCTTGTAATGAATGTTTTCGTCAATTTTAAGAAATAAGCTATTAAACAATCTTGTTCTTGAACATATAACATAAATTTGACCATGTGAGAAGCAAGGTTTTTTAATATAAATACTTTATTAAAAGTTTGATTTTGTTCAAACGTTTGACCTTTGAAACGAGTATTGTCTTCGAGTTCTTAAAAATAAAAAACAGGTTATTATACTTTAAGTGCAGTTGACAAAGAACTTAAATAGTGTTATTATTATATATCATTATATAATATATTAATAAAATGAACTAAATAACTTTAAATTTAAAATTAAACTTTAAAACTTACATTACTAATTTAAAAATAG